TAGCTCTCAAGTGGGTGAAATGTGGTTGATTAGCAGGCATAGTGGGATAGAGAAGAGTTCTGTGACCATTATTTTTCTTTTCTTACAGTGTTGGGGTAGAACCTGGGGACACATCTGCTATGCAAACACCCCACCACTGAACTATATCCCCATTACGCTTTGCAGCCATCAAGTTGAGTAGCAGAAAGGCTTTTTTTTTTTTTTTTTGAGATAAGGTCTCACTCTGTAGACCAGGCTAGCCTCAAACTAATCAGATCCATCTGCCTCTGCCTCTGCCTCTGCCTCTGCCTCTGCCTCTGCCTCTGCCTCTGCCTCTGCCTCTGCCTCTGCCTCTGCCTCCTGAGTGCCAGGCTAAAAGGCGTGCGCCACCATGCCAAACTCAATTCTTACTGGCTCTGTTGTACTACTGTAGGAGAAACTGAGCTGCTAGGAGGGAAGAGTAGTTCAGTGGTGATGGAAGGAGGGCTGGGAGGTGCACAGAGGAGCCAAGCCTGGGCCCAGTGCTCAGCAGACCCTCCTCCCGCATAGGTAATGTGAAGCACCTAGTTCTCTTCCTCCACGAGGCTGTCCTGGTGCAGTATGTGGACACACTCAAGCTTGCAGTGCCGTCTCTCATCTATACCTTGCAGAATAACCTCCAGTATGTCGCCATCTCCAACCTGCCAGCCGCCACTTTCCAGGTGAGCCCCCAGCCCAGCAGAGCTCCCGGGGAACTAGGAGAGGGAGATACAGCTGGGAGGAGGGAGGTGGTCTGCAAAGTGCAGGAACTATGTCACTTTCAGAATGTTCTTGGAACTCCCTCAACTTCGGCTTCCGTATGTGTCAAAATTGGGAGTGGGGGGATACTGAGATAACGGAAAATATGCCTGCGGCCAGACATGGCATATACCTGCAAACCCAGCACTCAGGAGGCTGAAGCAGGAGGATTTGGGATTTGAGGACTACATAAATAAACTCTTTCCTGGGGCTTAAGAGATGCCTCAACAGTTGAGAGCAGCACTAGCTGCTCTTCTGCAGGACCCAGGTTCGATTCCCAGCACCCACATGGGGACTCACAAGCATTTGTAGCCCCATTTTCAGAGGATCTGATGCCCTCTTCACCTCCAAAGGCACTAGCCATGCATGTAGTGCACAGATATTCATGCAGGCAAAACATCTGTATACACTCAAAGAAATACCTGGAAAGAATCCTTGAGTGCTTAGTGATAAGTCTGTGGCATCTGTGGATAGTCTTGTATACAAAAGGTTGATTAAAGGACCTAGATACTACAGCAAGGTTGGCTGGGTTCAAATCCCAGTGCTGCTGCTTTCTAGCCATGTGATTTGGGGGGTCAATCACTTACCTTTCTCTGCCCATCCTTATTTTATTTTATTATTTCATTTTGTTTTCTTTAGACAAGGTCTTATGTAGCCCAGGCTGCCCATCATCTTGTTATGTAATATGCTGTGATCCTCCTGCCTCAACCACTCAAGTGTTGGCATTAGAGGTGTGTAGCACCAGGCCCTGTTTATGAGGTGCCTGCTAAGCAGAACTACCAGCTAAGCTATGTCTTCAGCCTTTATTTTCTGTTTGGTTTTTGAGACAGGATCAGTCTAGCCTTGAACTCATGATTCTTACTCCACCTCCTAAGTGTTGTGATTTCAGTCATGGGCCACCAGGTCTAGTTTTCTCATCATTAAATTGCAGATTATAGTGGTGTTCAGTTCCAAGGTAGCTGTGAAGATTAAATGCACTGTTTCTTTTAGAGTGCCCAGACCCAGGCTGGACACATAGTAACCAAGAAGTATTTTCTGGCTTTGTTGTGGTTGATTCATTTGTCTGAAGACTTCCTTCATCACAAAGCTTTCTGTTTATCACCTACTTGGAGGGGTTTTTGCATACCTCAGCTTTACTTCATAGAGATGATGCCGGGCCTCAGAGAGGACAGGTGATTTGTCCCTGTCACATAGCCGGGAAAATAGGATTGGGTTGTAGATTTGGGTGTGGCCTGGGACATCATGGCACTGCTACCATTTTGTAACTCAGTGGGAGGTTCTTTGTTGAGATGATTTCCGGCCCAGACTGGCCTCTGACTCTCCATAACCAAGGATGACTTTAAATTTCTGATCCTCCTGCCTCCATTCTCCAAGTGCTGGGATTACAGGTGTGTACCACTGCACCTGGTGCTGGGGATGGAACCCAGCAGTCTGTGTGTGCTAGGTGAGCTCTTGACCAATTGAACTACATCCCTAGCTCTCTGGGAGGGTCTTTGGGAACTACTTAGCCACAAATTAGTCAGTAGTCAGTGGTTGGTTAATTTTTATTTATTATTATTTTATTTTATTTTGGTCTTTTGAGACAGGGTTTCTCTGTGTAGTTCTGGTGCCTTTCCTGGATCTCACTCTATAGACCAGACTGGCCTTGAACTCACAGAGATCCGCCTGTCTTGGCCTCCGGAGTGCTGAGATTAAAGGCGTGCTCCACCACCGCCCAGCTGGTTAATTTTATTGCCATGGACCCCACCTTATCCTTTTCATTGTGCAGGAAGGCCCACAGTGGGTGCTGTCCCCCAGGCCTTACACTTTCTGGGAGTTGGGGGCCAGCCCTCAGTGCCTTTCCTACACCACTTGCAGGTGACGTATCAGCTGAAGATCCTGACCACGGCACTGTTCTCCGTGCTCATGTTGAACCGCAGCCTCTCCCGCCTGCAGTGGGCCTCTCTGCTGCTGCTCTTCACGGGTGTTGCCATTGTCCAGGCACAGCAAGCTGGCGGGGGTGGCCCACGGCCACTGGATCAGAATCCCGGGGCAGGACTAGCAGCTGTTGTGGCCTCCTGTCTCTCCTCAGGCTTCGCAGGGGTATACTTTGAGAAGATCCTCAAAGGCAGCTCAGGTTCTGTGTGGCTGCGCAACCTGCAGCTAGGCCTCTTTGGCACAGCCCTGGGCCTGGTGGGGCTCTGGTGGGCTGAGGGCACTGCTGTGGCCCGTCGAGGCTTCTTCTTTGGGTACACGCCTGCTGTCTGGGGTGTGGTACTAAACCAGGCCTTTGGGGGGCTACTGGTGGCTGTTGTTGTCAAGTATGCCGATAACATCCTCAAGGGCTTTGCCACCTCCCTGTCCATTGTGCTGTCCACCGTTGCCTCCATTCGCCTCTTTGGCTTCCACCTGGACCCATTATTTGCCCTGGGCGCTGGCCTTGTCATTGGTGCCGTCTACCTCTACAGCCTTCCCCGAGGTGCAGTCAAAGCCCTAGCTTCTGCCTCGGCCTCCGCCTCTGGGCCCTGCATTCACCAGCAGCCTCCTGGGCAGCCACCACCACCACAGCTGTCTTCTCGAGGAGACCTCATCACGGAGCCCTTTCTGCCAAAGTCAGTGCTGGTGAAGTGAGAGCTGGTGGTGGTTGGGGGAGCCAGGGGAGGGGGTTGGGCTGGAGGGGGTTGGGCTTCTGCAGGTTCAAAGTTGTTGCCCGGGCCTGACTCTTGTGGGGTTCAGGGTTGTTTTTCTCCCATACTTCTAGAGGGATATGGAACTAGGGCCGACCGGCATATGAACCCTTCCTGATACATGGACTCCCCTCTCCTGAAGGAGCTTTATAGAGCTGCTTCCGCTGCCCCGGGCTAACCTGGGAACAGGGTTGGGGTACTGCTATTCCAGGCTTTTCCCCACGACCCTCTCCTGGAGATGTCCTGTCTCTCATGCCTGGGACAGTTCATCCCAGCCATCCAGCAGACTGGACAAAAGCCCTGCAGTTCTTCAGTAACGACTAATGACTACCCGTGGGGTTCCATTTCCTATTGTATGAGGCCTTCTCTCCTGCACCATCACCCTGGATCATGTCAACAGCTTGCTCTCTGATGTGGCTTTGGGGCAGTTTCCCTGCTACAGAGAGACCCTTGAAGATCAGCCTGTTGTAAGTGCCTGGAGTGAGGAGAGAGGCACAAGCTGAGAATTTTGCATCAGCTCATCTGGGGGAGAGTGCAATAAGCACCGTTCGCTTTTCAAAGTTTGGGGGTTTGTGATATAATCAGATTAATGATCCAGAGTGTTGGGAAAAGGGGGAGGGGAGGTCCTTGAAGTGGCTGAATCTCGTGTAATTGAAGAGACAAAGACGAAGGATTATCTTCTGAAACATCCAGAGAGGAAAAATAAAGCTGCCAATCCCACTCTTGCAGCCCCATTGGCTGTTTAAAACACCCTTACTTCATGGTGGGTGTCAGAATTGATGAATCATGGAACCTGCACCCCTGCGCTCCCCAAAGCTTATTAACTCCTTAACTGTATCCCAGATGTGTGTGCGTGCGTATGTGTGTGTGTATGTCTGTGTGTGTGTGTGTGTGCGCGCGTGCGTGCGTGCACATAAATACACGCATGGGAGGTGCCTGGGCTGTCTTTGCTATATGTAAATAGGGCCACTGGATCTTTATTTTTGATTAATTTGTTCTGATTTTTTTGGGGGGAGTTGTTTTCTAAGGAACTGTAATGAACATATGTCAGGACACCCAATGCCAAATAAAGATGTTGTATTTATTTAGTCCATGTGTAGCTTTCTGACCCAGGGGCCCGCTCTCTCCACACAAGCACCATTATTAACCCCAGGTTTCCTAGCTTACTACTACTGCCCTCGCTTGCTCAGGACACCCAGCTGCCAGCCCACCCCAGCTTTCTGTTTCTCTTTCCTTCCCGTTTCCACCACAGGTTGCTCACCAAGGTGAAGGGTTCGTAGCTGCTGGAATTGAAGACGCTGGCCTGCCTTCGATCTCCCTTCTTGCCCTGGCCCAGCTGGGACTAAACTCTCTATCAGTATTAGGGGTGAGGCAGACATGGGAACTCCCTGTCCCCATCAACCCTGCCCCACATAGGGCTGACCTGACTAACCTCTGTTAATGGGCCCGCCTCAACTCCTGCTATCTTTGCAGTATTTCTTAGGTGAGTTTCTGTAAATAAAGTGTGTTTTGCATCTTGTCAACTTGGGTTGGAAAGCCTGGAACGAATGAAGAAAGGAAGCACTCAAGCCTCATGGATCTGATCCACAAAAAAAGCTTTTATTAAAAACAATAAGGGGGTCGGGCAGTGGTGGCACTGGCCTTTAATCCCAGCACTCGGGAGGCAGATGCAGGCGGATCTCTGTGAGTTCAAGGCCAGCCTGGTCTCCAAAGTGAGTTCCAGGACAGGCTCCAAAGCTACACAGAGAAACCTTGTCTCGAAAAACCAAAACAAAAAACTAATAAAGGGGCCGGGAGTATAGCTCATTGGTGAAATAATTGCTCAGCGTGTGCAAAGCTCTGGGTCCTATCTCTAGAGCGGCAAGGACGAAAGACAGAAAGGTGAAAGGTCAAAGCTTCCAGGGACAAAGGTTCAGTCCTGCTGTTTGGTTCGGGAGGCCTCGGCATTGGCACGGAGCACGGCCCCTGGGGAAGGGTATGGGCGCTGCTGGAAGAGGGGCCCAGCTGCTGTCGTGTCTGCGCCGGTCTTGGCCTCATTCCTCTTGGGTAGTCCTGTTGACCACGTGCCCCTGGGGACAACAGAGAATTAGAGGACAGGAAAAGGATGTAGTGGGCACCCCCACCTGCCCAAGGAAAGAATGGGAAGAAATACAAGAAGAGGCTACTGTTCACAGGCATAGCGACAATCATGAAATAAGAGGATTGGCAGGGGGGTTCACTTACCGGGGTGCATCTGAGTATGAGCTGGGGTCCATGGGGTCTAATTCTTCATCTTTCCGGCTCACTGCTATAGAAATAAGTAGCTGCTCAAATTCTTCCCTTGAGGCCCAAGGAGCTCCTGATCATTGAGCCCCTCCGCCCAGGAAGCAGTGGTGCCAGGGGATACCATGGCCGACAGCACGCTTCTCCAGGAGACCAGGTCTAGGCATGCGCTCCATTCTGTGCCCTGGTACCTCACTTGACTCATCTAAGTCCCAACCTGATCTGCTTACCCTTCTTACTCTTGGGGTAAGGAGCCAGCTCTTCTCTGCGATGGTGGCGCCGGTCTTTCCCATCGTCCCGCTCTGCTTTGTCATACCCCCGGTCCCGATCTCGTTCCCTGTCCCGATCTCTCTCTCTCTCCACTTTGTCATAGCTCCGCTCTCGATCCCGGTCAGACTTCTCATGGTTTCGTTCTGCCTTGTCATGGCTCCTGTCTGGCTTCTCGTGACTTCGGTCTGGCTTCTCATGATTTCTGTCCAACTTCTCATGATTCCGGTCCAACTTGTCCTCAGCATCTGTGGTAACACAGAAGTCCTGAAAAGCCCCTCTCTGAGACTGCAAGAATCATTAAGACGCCCCTGCATTTGCCAACTCACCTGTATTACTGTTCCTGAGTTTCTTGGCAGATTTGGTAACGACAAAGTTGGGGTCATGTGGTGAGAGCCACGACACGAGGTCTGTCTCCACATTCCAGTAGTAAGGGAGTCCACTGTGGGCAGGGAGAGGGAAGGGAGTATCAGCACACATAGATGTCCCTGATACCAACTGTCTCCCCAACCTCTGCTTAGATCAGCCCCATGGCTCCACATGCAGATCTCTTCCTTATGGAGCCCACAATAAGGGATTAACACAGGAAGGGAAAAGCCAGCTGTCCCTCCTGCCTCATGGTGGTAGGCTCACCAAGAAGGGTCAAACACTTTGTACCAGCTCGGTGGCAGACCCTCTAACCGGGTGGCCTCATAGTCGACAGGATCATCGTCATAGTCCTCAGCAATAATCTCTTCCTCTGGCTCTGGAAGACAGGGGAAGAGAAAAGTACTTTAAGAACCTGGGGGTTTGCCGGGCGGTGGTGGCGCACGCCTTTAATCCCAGCACTCCGGAGGCAGAGCCAGGCGGATCTCTGTGAGTTCGAGGCCAGCCTGGACTACCAAGTGACTTCCAGGAAAGGCGCAAAGCTACACAGAGAAACCCTGTCTCGAAAAACCAAAAAAAAAAAAAAAAAAAAAAAAAAAAAAAAAAGAACCTGGGGGTTCTCTTTCTATACCCAGGGCCTGGGGCCATAACCCATTCACATCTATACCATTGGATGTGGAAGACATAGAGGTGTGTGTTGAGTTGACAGAGAATCTTCAAAAACTGACTAATTCCTGAGTTCAGATACCACATGGCCATGTATCATCTAAACCTATTTAAACGACATGGGTTTGAAGAGCAGTGTGTGTGTGTGTGGGGGGGGGTTGCCTAAAAATAATGGCTCATCTATTCACCTTCTGAACTGTGATAGGTTTCTGAGTCATGTATAGCAAGGAATTAGTCCAAACAGTGCTCTGAATCTACTTCTAAGGGTTGACATATAGTAAGCCTGCAGCAAGAGGTCTGGTGATAGTAGAATAAACATTATCAGCCCAATGCCTGCCAATCAGTAGGCCCATAACAGGTTCCAGCTGTGGGTATAACAATAAAATACATATGCCATGCCGAGTGGTGGTGGCATATGCCTTGAATTGCAGCGCTCAGGAGGCAGAGGCAGGAGGATCTCTATGAGCTATGTCCAGTTGCAGGACAGCCAAGGCTACACACACAGAAACCCTGTCTTGAAAAACCAAAAAAAAAAAAAAAATGTGCACATGCCAGCCCAGTGACACCAAAAGAGGTGTCAGGTATGATCATCCATATTGCTATTGCTAATATAAACTATCAGCAGTGGGCTCAGTACTCAAAAGACTTAAAAGAAACAACAATGATGTGCGGTTTGCCTGAAACCCTGGATTCATACCCTAGCACCACCAATATTATGATGCACTTTCCGGTGCCTAACACACCATATAGGTTAAAACTCATGCCAGAGCCGGGCGGTGATGGCACAGGCCTTTAATCTCAGCACTCAGGAGGCAGAGCCAGGCGGATCTCTGTGAGTTCGAGGCCAGCCTGGTCTACAGAGCGAGATCCAGGACAGCTCCAGAGCTACACACAGAAACCCTGTCTCGAAAAATCATACACACACAAAAAAACCTCATGCCAGATTTTATTATTATTGGCAATAATGTGTAATTAGCATCTAGTAATACAGTAAACCTAATTGATAGATGATCATTTTAGTCTATTAGCATAACATATGTGCCGGGTACTTAGCCCCAAATAAATGTTAATAATAATATGGTTAAACTGCTGAGTTTAACCATAAAACATCAACACCCTGCCACTGTATTTGAAACATAGACTGCAGGATATATGATTCTTTTTTTTTTTTTTGGTTTTTCGAGACAGGGTTTCTCTGTGTAGCTTTGCGTCTTTCCTGGAACTCGCTCTGTAGACCAGGCTGGCCTCGAACTCACAGAGATCCGCCTGGCTCTGCCTCCCGAGTGCTGGGATTAAAGGCGTGCGCCACCACCGCCGCCCGGCTCGGATATATGATTCTTATTAAATAAATACTGGCTTAGTGTGGTGGTGCACACCTTTAAACTCAGCATTAGGGAAGCAGAAACAGGCAGATCTCTGTGAGTTCAAAGCCAGCCTGATCTACATAATGAGTTCCAGGCCTGCCAGAAATACAGAGTGAGACCATGTCTCAAGCATTAATTAATGACCAAGTAGTCACCCCCTTTGGATTTATTATAATCATCTTCTGGTGTGTGTATTTAAAAGAAACAAATATCTGGCCTGGAATTCACTATGTAAACCAGGCTGTCATCTGTAATCCTTTTTGCCTGTCTCTGCAGTACTGGGATTAGAGATGCATGCCATTATATGCCTAGCTTTTGTTTTCCAAAACAGGGTTTCTCTGTGTAACAGCCCTGGCTGTCCTGGAACTCAGAGATCCTCCTGCCTCTGCCTCCCAAGTGCTGGGTTTTAAAGGAGTATGACACCACCACCACCGGGCCTGCTTAGCTTTATTTTTTGAAGACTGGGTCTCACCAAGTTGCCATGGCTGGCCTTGATCTCCTGGGCTCAAGCCATCTTCATATCTTGGCCTCCTAAGTATCTGAGACTATTGGTACATGGCACCGTGCCCATTTGATTCATGGATTAAATTAATTCGCATAGTACTTACCAGGCAGTAGTAATGGATATCAGGAAATTAGATTGACATTGAGATGCCTGCCAGGCCATGCAAGATATCGAGTATCAACAATAAAGCCTGTCAAGGAGATTTACCTCAATAGTTGAGCACATTCAAGAGCCTGGGTTTGACCCCAGCAACGCAAGGGGGGAAAAGGTGTGTGCTTTGGGGCTGAGGATGATGATAGAGCGCCTCCTAGGCATGCACCTGGTTTCGATGAGGGCGCGCGGGGGTGGGGTGGGGTGGGGGGGGAGGGGGGCTGAGCGCGGGGGGGGGGGGGGGCGGGGTAAAGAACAGAATAACAGACGTCTGTTAACACTGGCACATGGTAGAAGATCATCCGTTATTAGCTTTCTCACCGGGCTCCAGATGTTTGAGGATGCCCCTCTTTGCCAAGCGGCTCTGCAGCGCGACAGGGAGCGGCATCGTGGGTTGCTGACCAGTCCTAGGAATCAACAGACAGTATGAAGGGCAGATCCGATAAACATTTCAGTCAGGATATCGAGTAACCATGCACCACACTACAGCGTGGGCTCGTTTGACCCCGACCTACCTAACTGCACCAGTAGCTGGAAGGACAGAACAAAAATGAGTGCTAAAAGATGAAAGCGAACCGGGTGGCGGTGACGCACGCCTTTAGTCCCAGCACTCGGGAGGCAGAGCCAGGTGGATCTCTGTGAGTTCCAGGCAGATCTACAGAGCGAGAACCAGGACAGGCACCAAAGCTACACAGAGAAACCCTATCTTGAAAATCAAAAGAACAAAAAAAAAAGATGAAGGCGATACGTGACAGAACAGTCGGGACTACTACCACCATCACTTACTGACCGGGGGCACCGGGGACCGGATACACAGAAGACCCAGTTCCTCTCCAGGCCAAGGCTCCACCAATCACCGGAGGAATCAAGTGTATCACACCCGCAACCCAGAAATGGGATCACCCAACGTTCCTCTAAGTCAGCAAAGTGGGAGGAACCAAGGCGCTGGGATAGGGGTGCCCATATGCCAACACCCTCTGAAGCTTTCAAAGAAAGCTCCCACCCCGGCGCTACCAGCAGAGCTATGCAGACGATCCAAGTCTGTCACCCTGGCCCCTCTCCCTCTTTGTCACTATGCTTACCAATCTCGAGGGGATCTTCGTTTAAAGCACAAACCGTTCCCCGCACGCCCCAGACGCAGTTAACTGGTCGACTCCATGGCTTGAAGTGAACGGATGTGGCCAGCCGGGCTAGCCAATAAGAATGCGCCTTTGGCCTGACGTAAGCAAGGAGAACCAATTGTTTCCTTGGCCTGCGTACGACGCCCCCGCGCTTGTGGGCGTTCCTGAGTGGGGGAGTGGCTCGCCTGTGCGACTGACTGCTCCGGGCCAGACGCTGGCGCCATGGAGGAGTACGCTCGCGAACCTTGGTACGGCCATGGGCACAGGCTTCGGGACAGTCCCTGCGACGCCCAGGCCAGCGACGGGAGGCGGGCGGGGAAGGCAAGGCTACATTGCCAAGTCCCTGACGCGGGAGGCTTAGAAACTTCACGGCCTCAGCGCGTCCGCCATGGCTCCTCTCACTCGGACTTCGTTAAAAAGCGCCACAGTGGAGTTGTCCCTGAAGGTGCGCTGTGGGACAATCCATGCCACTGTGCCCCTGACTGTTCTTCTAGACCCCTTTTGTGAGCCAAGAGAGAAACGCTGGGCAGATCCATTCCAGCAGCGGGGGAGGAGAGGCGTGGAGCCAAAACCCACAGGGTTTCCTCGCGTGGCTTTTCCCAGACTGGTGTTTGACTCCGGATAGGGCATGTATGAACTCACTGTGGGCTGAGAGGTGGGGGCCTGAGCTTCCTCACGGTCTTTTGATTTTTCCGTTTTAGATTTTTAAAATGACACTGTGCAGGGCTTCCTTGGACATGCTTTTTTTTTTTTCCCCTTTGGTCAGAGAACAGAATGTCACCCTGTGCTGCTTTACTTAATGCTAGCTGGTTAACACTGTTGAAACCTGCCAACTCTTTGTACCGGTGAATCCGTTTGATTTTTTTTTTCTTTTTTTGGTTTTTTTTCGAGACAGGGCTTCTCTGTGTAACAGCCCTGTCTGTCCTGGATCTCGCTCTGTAGACCAGGCTGGCCTCGAACTCAGTGATCCCCCTGCCTCTGCCTCTGAGTGCTGGGATTAAAGGCGTACGTCACCGGCGCCTGGCCCGTTTCATTTTTGATAGCATCAAAACAGTTTGATTGCCGGGCGGTGGTGGCGCACGCCTTTAATCCCAGCACATGGGAGGCAGAGCCAGGCGGTTCTCTGTGAGTTCCTCTGTGAATTCGAGGCCAGCCTGGGCTACCAAGTGAGTTCCAGGAAAGGCGCAAAGCTACACAGAGAAACCCTGTCTCGAAAAAACCAAAAAAAAAAAAAAAAACAGTTTGATTGATGCTTGGTTGTAATCGAGAGTACTATTCTGCCGGTAGTAAGCCCAGCATTTGGAAGGCTATGTAGTGAGACACCTCCCCCACTCTCAAAAAGAAAAGAAAAAAAAGTACTATTTTTCCACTTTTGTGCCACGGATAGATTTACAGATGTTTTGGGTATTGTTTGTTTATTTGTCTTGAGACAGAATCTTACTATATAGCCCTGGCTAGCCTGGAACCCTGAGTGGACTAGACTGACCTCAAAACACACAGATCCGCCTGCCTCTGCCTCTGGAGTGCTGGGATTAAAGGTGTGTGCCGCCAGACTCGGGGCATAATTCTCTCTCTCTCTCTAAATATATATATATATATATTTTGTTTTTTAGGGACAGGGTTTCTCGTATATCCCAGGCTGTCCTGGAACTCGCTTTGTAGACCAGGCTGGCCTTGAACTCAGATCTGTCAGCTTCTGCCTCTCAAGTGCTGGGATAAAAGGCGTGCACCGCCACTGCCTGGCTACACAAACTTTCTTTTTGGGTCAGAGTCTCCATTTATAGCCCAGGTTGGACTCCAGCTGGTGATTCTCCTGCCTCCACTTCCCAAGTATTGTGATTATAGATATGTGGAACCATGCCTGACTTTCCTTTCTGGCTTTATGGATTTATAAAAACTGTCAGAACTAATTTGTTATTATCTTAGATGTTTCTTTTCAGTCATGAACTTCCCATTTTGGTTCTCCAAGTTCCAAAGAGTCCCAGCCTGGCAGGGCAGCATCTCACATTAACCCAATCTTTTCCTTCCTGCTTGCAGCCCATGGCGAATTGTGGATGATTGCGGTGGAGCCTTCACTATGGGTGTCATTGGTGGTGGAGTCTTCCAGGCTATCAAGGGCTTTCGCAATGCCCCTGTTGTGAGTTGAGCCTTCCCCCAGTGGTGTGGGAGTCTGCAGTCTTGATGCACTGAACACACTCATTTTATTGCTTGTTCATCACTGCATGCTGGGCCTATGTCCTGGATCTATGATTTGAGGGACTCTGTTCTTCAACTGTCTAGCTGGAGCTCTGTGGAAATGCTCTGCTGTCAGAAACAGTCTTAGGGGCTAGGAGTATATATAGGTGGGGTTTTATTGTTGGGACCACAATCAGCTCTGTTCCACCAGCCACTTCCCAAATAACCACTTGGAGACTTATTAATTATAAATATTTGGCTGATAGCTCAGGCTTGTTACTAACTAGCTCTTACAACTTAAATTAACCCATTTTTATTAACTATGTGCTGCCCTGAGGCTCTGGGCTTTTACCTCTCCTTCATGTCCTACTTCCTTTTTGTCTGGCTTATGATTCCTCTGACTCTGCCCTCCTTCTTCCCAGTATTCTCTCTGCCCCCAAAATCCTACCTAGCCATCAGCCAATCAGCTTTTTATGAACAATAAGAGCAATACATATTTACAGTATACAAAGATTTTTCCACAGCAAGTATATAGATAGAGTAGTTGGTTAAGCAAGAGAGAGGGGTCCTTAGTCTATTCCTCAACATCAAAAGAAAAAGAAAAAGGTTAGCATTAAATCTTAAATGTGTATGCAACATAGGTTTTACCTCAAAACAGACTCTGGGTTAAAATCCTCTATATAGAATAAGGACAGAAGTTTGACAGAGAGAACAGCCTTTAAACTGAATGAGGGCGCTTTTAATATATTTCTGCCTCATCCTCTGAGGCCCCCTACCCTTGGAGATCTCATTAGATGTCACTGGTTTAAAAGCAGTTATGGGGAGGGGCTGGAGATAAGGCTCAGTGGATAAGAATACTTGGCTTTGCAAGCATGAGGATCTGAGTTTGATACCCCAACATCAGTGTAAAAAGCCAGGCATGAGCCTGGTGGTGGTGGTGGTGGTGGTGGTGGTGGTGGTGGTGGTGGTGGTGGTGGTGGTGGGTGGCACACGCCTTTAATCCCAGCACTCGGGAGGCAGATCCAGGTGGATCTCTGTGAGTTCGAGGCCAGCCTGGGCTACAGAGCGAGATCCAAGACAGGCACCAAAACTACACAGAGAAACCCTGTCTCAAAAAAAAACCAAAAAATCCAAAAAAACAAAAAACTAAAAACCAAAAGCTAGGCATGCATGGCTACCTGTGCCTAGACCCCCAGCGTTGGAGGAGGCGGGGCACAAGACAGGCATTTCCCAAGAGCTTGCTGGCCAGTCAGCCTAGCTGGAGTGGAGCTTCTGGTTCAGTGAGACAAAAAGCAATAGAAGAAAACCCCTAATGTCCTGCTATGACCTCCATATGTTCACACACCTGCACATTCATTTGTATATACCACACAGACACACATATCTTTGGTTTGGTTTGTTTTGAGACAGGGTTTCTCTATGTAACCCTGGCTGTCCTGGAGCTTGCTCTGTAGACCAAGCTGGCTTCAAACTCATAGGGATCCACCTGCCTCTGCTTCTCTAAGTCCTGGGATTAAATGTGTACTCTACCATCACTGGGAGTAACTTTGTTATTTTTAATTTTTGCAAAGCCTCATACCTAAAAGATTGCCTTGAACTGGGGCTAGAGAGATAGCTCAGAGGTTAAGATCACTGGCTGTTCCTCCAGAGGTCCTGAGTCCAATTCCCAGCACCCACATCGTGACTCACAACCATTTGTAATGAGATCTGGTGCCCTCTTCTGGTGTGCATACGTGCTGGCAGAACACTATACATAATAAATAAATACATCTTAGAAAAAAAGATTGCCTTGAACCTCGGAGACAACTGGGCTTAGACTTGTGAGCTTTACTATAAGACTATAGAGACCCTTAAAGATGGGCAGGATGCCTGTTCCTCTATGAAATGGATATGAGCCTTTGGGGATATATTAGTTACTTCTCTGTTGTTGTGATAAAACCCATGATGAAGGCAATTATAGAAGAAAGAGTTTATGTGGGCTTAGAGTTCCAGAGGGATTAGAGTCAATCGTGATGGGGAGGCGTGGCAACAAGGAGCATGGCTGCCAGAGCAAGAAGCTGAGAGCTCACATCCTCACAGCAAGCATGAAACAGAGAGGATGAACTGAAAATAGGCGAGGCTTTAAGACAGTGCTCGCAGCCGTCTGAATGCTGGGACTCTAATGCAGTTCCTCATGTCATGCTCCCCAACCATACAATTATTTTCAGTGCTACTTCCGAACTGTCATTGTGCTAGTTATGAATCGTATTGTAAATAACTGTTTTCTGATGGTCTTAGGCAACCCCCAGGTTGAGAGCTATTGTTCTATAGTACATTTTGCTGTCTGAAGCTGTCTTGCTTATTTCCTTAGGATCTGTCTCTGCCACTACTGTGTGCACTCACTCTGGGAGGGCAGGGCCCCTCCCCATAACTGCTTTTAAACCAGTGACATCTAATGAGATCTCCAAGGGTAGGGGGCCTCAGAGGATGAGGCAGAAATATATTAAAAGCGCCCTCATTCAATTTAAAGGCTGTTCTCTCCGTCAAACTCCTGTCTTTATTCCATATAGAGAATTTTAACCCAGAGTCTGTTTTGAGGTAAAACCTATGTTTCTTTATCTGTTTTTTTTTTTTTTTTTTTGGTTTTTTGAGACAGGGTTTCTCTGTGTAGCTTTGCACCTTTCCTAGAACTCACTCTGTAGACCAGGCTGGCCTCGAACTCACAGAGATCCACCTGCCTCTGCCTCCCGAGTGCTGGGATTAAGGGCATGCGCCACCATGCCCGGCCAAACCTCCGTTTCTTGATGTGCCCCTGCATATAGAATGAAGCCTGGCACACGAGACCTGTTCATGTCTATTGAATGAACGAGTGAACAGATGAATAAAACTTAGCAACCCCACTCTGAGAACATCTTGGTTGGACTCACTCCCCAGTCTCCCGGTTCTATGGTTGCTGCTATGCTTCTGCCAGCTTTCCCATGCCTTCCTCTCTCTTTAATGCAGCGCTCGTAGTCAAAGAACCACGGGCCTTGCTCAGTCGAGGCAAGGGCTCTATCACTGAGCGCCCCGGCACCCACCCACCCCTTCGTAGAAACCTTGCCTTGCCAGAGGTCTTACTTACCCCTACCCTGATTCCTCTGCGTGCTTTCTCCAGGGAATTCGACATCGCTTCAGAGGTAGTGCCAATGCTGTGAGGATTCGAGCACCCCAGATTGGAGGTGAGGAGCCCTGGAGGCGGGGGGGGGGGGGGGGGACCTTAAAGACATGGTAGCAACATTGAAGATAGTTGATTCTTTGAGGCAAAACTATAAGTTAGAGGTCCAAATCCTAACCCAAAGTCTGACTAGAACTTTCTAGGGTGGTGACATTTCCCAGCATTTAATATGAAAGGGCGAGATTGTGTATTCTGTAGTTTGTTTATTTGTTTTTGAGACCGGGTCTCTCTACATAGCCCTGGCTGGCCTGGAACTTTCTTTGTAACCAGGCTGGCCTTGAACTCAACACCTGCCTCTGCCTCCCAAGTGCTGGGATTAAAGGCGTGTACTGCCAAGCCTTTATTCTGCAATTTAAATCTAGGTCCTGGCTCTTCCCTGTTAGCTGATCTTATGCTAGTAGCACACTTCCTCCAAACCTCATCTGATAGTGATAGCATTGACTATCCAATAGGTAGTTTTTGGTTTTGGTTTTTGGCTTTTCGAGACAGGGTTTCTCTGTGTATCTTTGGAGCCTGTCCTGGAACTCGCTCTGTAGTCCAGGCTGGCCTCGAACTCACAGAGATCCGCCTGCCTCTGCCTCCTGAGTGCTGGAATTAAAGGCGCGTGCCACCCCGGCCAGCCTTCTCCTGCATTTTTGCTGTTTCATGTCACATGTGGTCAGCTATGGAATTTTCCGTTACTGCTATCATGACCATGCTCAAAAAGTTGTAGGTTTTGAAGCATTTTGGATTTCTAGATTGTGAACGTGGTATTTAAAGGGTGGAAGTTAGGACTGGAGAGATGGTTCAGTGGTTAGGAGCACTGGCTGCTCTTCCAAAGGACCCAGGTTCAGTTCCCAGCACCCACATGGCAGTTCACAACTGTCTATAACTCCTCTTCCTGGGGATTCAACACTCTCACACAGACATACATGCAGGCAAAACACCAATGTACATAAAATACAAATAAATAAATTTAAATTAAAAAAATAAAAATAAAAATAAGGGGTGGAAATTGCTTCATTGAAAGCTGTGTGAAATGTTAATCTGCTTGTATTCATTTGCCAACTAAAAGTGAAAGATTTTGATAACTACGGACCTGATTAAATGGGGGACTCTTCACAGTGGGAAAGATGGAGTGTTCCATAGGGGTCTCTACCTGTCTCTATGTCTGGACTTTGTTCCCATTTGTATTTGGTGCTGAGGTGGAACCCACGGCTTTCTACAGACTCTGACTCTCCCAACCCACTGGTTTTGAGACAGGCCTTCACTCTGGGGATGTCTAATTCTTTGCAGTCTTCCTGCCTTTTTTCTTTTTTTTTTTTTGGTTTTTCGAGACAGGGTTTCTCTGTGTAGCTTTGCGCCTTTCCTGGATCTCACTTGGTAGTCCAGGCTGGCCTCGAACTCACAGAGATCCGCCTGCCTCTGCCTCCCAAGTGCTGGGATTAAAGGCATTCGCCACCACCGCCCGGCCCTCCTGCCTTTTTGAGCCTCCCAGGTGCTGGGACTATACCAGTCATGGTTGGTTGGCTGGTTGGTTGGTTGGTTGGCTGGGGTGTGTGTTTGTGGGTGTGTGTATATATTTTGCTGGGAAATCACCATAGGCAAACACTCTACCACTGAGCCACATCTTTAGTCCTAGTAGCCCCTTTCTTGACCAGTCCTCAGACCTTGGAAGTTCCCAGACATTGAGATCTATGGAGTCTCCGAATTCCTGGGAATCACTGATGAGGACTCTCTTCCCCTACAGGTAGCTTTGCAGTGTGGGGAGGCCTGTTTTCCACCATTGACTGTGGCCTTGTACGGCTGCGGGGCAAGGAAGACCCCTGGAACTCCATCACCAGTGGAGCGTTGACTGGAGCAGTACTGGCTGCGCGCAGTGAGTGCCTCCAGCCCCCCATCCCACTCCCTTCCCTGGTCTGCCTGCCCTTCCTCAGCTCTGTCTCTTTCTGCCTCCCAGGTGGTCCGCTGGCGATGGTGGGCTCTGCGATGATGGGGGGCATCCTGTTGGCCCTCATCGAGGGTGTTGGCATCCTCCTCACTCGCTATACTGCCCAGCAGTTCCGCAATGGTGAGGACCTGGTGGGCAATGGTCAGGGAGAGTTGGGAAGCACTGTCAGCCTTCTCCACTCCTCCTCACCTCATTACCTCATTCTCCCTTCTCCAGCACCCCCATTCTTGGAGGACCCCAGCCAGCTAACCCCTAAAGAGGGAGCTCCGGCCCCAGGTTATCCCAACTACCAGCAGTACCACTGAGGAAGCCGCTGCCTGCCCCTGCCACCGTGGGAGCTACTCCTCAGTTCCCTCCCGGATGATCTACCTCCAAGGGAGGACTGGCTCCTACATAGCCCTGAGACCCTCCAGAGAGGGCCTCTCTATTCGACTCCCTTGTTCTGTGGTAGGGGTGGGGATACCCCGACAGCCTTGTCACCTGGGTCCCCTTTTTTTGTCTCTCAGGGCACCCCAGCCTCACACATGTAACAGTTTCTCATCCCAGATCCTCCGTGTGGCACCCTGATGAATGTTTAAAGCCAGTTTTGAAATGTCTGTGTATGCACTCCTTAGTCATCCAGAGGACCCACTCCTCAGGAGAAGCGGCTTGGAAGTCCAGGACTTGGTGTTCCACAGTGAATGGGTTCTAGTAAGGATTTTTTTTACAGGGTAGTGGGGGAAAGAACCAGGATCTCACTATGTTGTCCAGGCTGGACTTGAACTTGTGTCACGCTCCCACACCCAGCCTCTAGTACAGGGTTACAGAATGAATGAGCAAGGGAGGTAAGATTCACGAAGATATGAATTAGGCACATGAATAAGCACGGTTAGGGGCCGAGTGATACATCTAGCAAACAGGAGCAGGCTTGGGGAAGAAGATCAGGAACTCAAGGATTGTTGGGTGTGTGTGTAGGCCATGCATACATACTCCTAACTCCTAAACCCCCTTGCACAAGCTCCCCTTATAGAGACTGGGAAACTAGCCTTAAAAAGGCTTTTCTGAATACCAGTCATTCTATTTTTTAAAATTTCATTTACAAAAAAAAAAAAAAAAAAAAAAAAACAAATCCGCCAGGTGATGGTGATGCACACCTTTAATCCCAGCACTTGAGAGGCAGAGGAGGCAGATAGATCTCTGAGTTCGAGGACAGCCTGCTCTACAAAGCAAGTTCCAGGACAGCCAGGACTACACAGAGAAACCTTGTCTCAAAAACAAAACAAAAAACAAACAAAAAAGAAATCCATGCGGCTTTCTACCAGCTCTGGCTATCTGGGATGGAGGTCCAGGCATCAGGGAGACTGCTTTCTCAAACAAAGGTGCTCTGTGGTAGTCTCTTGTCGCTTCTTGTGCTTGGTGGTGTCTGCATCTTTCACATTTGTTGGGTTTCGTTACTGTTCTTAATTACATCTTAAACTGTTTATTTAAATGTTTTCATACAATAATTTTGGGAGTATTTTTCCCCTTCTCCAACACTTCCAGATCTTCCCCACCTCCCTATCTATTTAACTATGTTCTTTTGGTTTTTTGAGACAGGGTCTCACTATGTAGACCTGACTGTCCTGGAGTTTGCTCTGTAGCCCAGGCTGGCCTCACACTCACAGATCTGCCTGTCCTCTGCCTCCCGAGTGCTGGGCTAAAGGCCTGCGCTTCTACACCTGGCTTGCTGTTTGTTTTTCAAGACAGGGACTCAGGTAGCCCAGGCTGGCCTCCAACTTGCTATTTAACAGTGGCTTGTCCTGTAAACTGATCCTCCTGCCTCAGCTTCCTAAGTACTGTGGTCACGGATGTATGCTACCACACCAGTTCTGGTTTGTTTTTAGACAGGTTCTTGTTAGTGTAGTCTAGATTCACCTCGAACTCCTAATCCTTCTACCTCCCAAGTGCTGGAATTACAGATTTTTTAAAAAGATTAATTTATTGGGGGGGGGGGGGTGGGTACACATGCCATAGTGTATGTACAGGTCAGAGGACAGCTTTCCAGGGTCGGATCTCCTTTCACCATGTTGGTTTCCAGGATCCAATTCAGGTAGTAAGGCTCTGTGGCAACTCAGTTGTTTGTTTTGTAAAGTGACCACAGTATATACCGAAATGAGTCTCATTTGGGGAGAGGAGAGGTATGGGAAAGATTATCCTGGATGGACATCTCCCAAGCTCTGCCATTCTGTGCAAACCTCTTAAGTGGATGGGATAAACATTGTCTCTACTGGGGTCCAAATGCCTTATGGAGGCACAGAAATTTCCGGAGAATTGGATTTGTTTCCCGCTGAGACTCCTACAGTGCAAATGGGCTCATGGATGATATATAAATACTACAGGTCACTACAAGGAGATGGAAACATCCTTCCATATAAAACTGGTGCACCTGGAGACAAAGGTGCAGTCCTTAGGGTCTCTGAAAGTCCCAACAAGAGCCTAGTGGCCCTCAGTAATGGTCGTGCTTGAACAACTCAGTGCCTAGCAATGCATGGTCACTCTACCAACTGCCCTGGGAATGGAAAGATGGGTTGGGGTTTGCAGATTTGCACTGCACTCAATTAGAACCCAGCCATGCAGCCTTTGTGAGCTGGGAACTCCAGCTGCAGTGCTCTGACACTGACACACACACACACACACACACACACACACACACACACACACACGCCCTCTAGCCTTTGGGGAACAAACTCCCCAGTGCAGATCTAAGCTTGCCACCTGCTGTGGTTTCACAAGCCGAATTCCACTACTGAATTCCCCTGAGAGGCGGGGTCCATACCCCACTCCCTTCCCATCTTTCTGTGCTCCATAAGACTGCTATAGAATCTTACTGAGTATCTGTCTGGGCATTGTTACAGCAGGCCCCTTACTAATTGCCTGGCTCTTGCCAGCCTGCAGACTTGATCTCGATCGACCTCAAGCCTTGCCCCTCACCCTTAAATTATCAGCCCTCTGGGGAACATCCATGCTCCAGGAGGTGCACCTTCTCTAACCCTAGGATCCAGTTCCCAGTTTCCACCACCAGGGTGCAGCTCGACCTTTGCAGCTTGGAAGTGGTTCTCTCAGCTCGCTCTGCTGGATGCGTGGCTTAACTGCGCTTGGCGACCTTCCTCTCTGTCTTCCAAGCCCAGTGAGGACATTACCTGGTTTCTGTGCAAAAGAGCAGGCCCAGATTCCCAGGCTTGGCGGGAGGGGTTACTCTACAAAAGCGATTTTGTGCTGCCAAAATCTTAAGTTTGAAATGAAGAAAAAGATGGATGAAAAGAGAAGGAAATAGGAGAGAAACTAAAACAATCCTCAGGTGAGAATTGTGAGGCAGCTTAGGACCCTAGGGTGGTGGGTGTGTGTGCAGAGACCCAGAAAAGGTAGGAGAAAGGCACAGAGTAAAGAGAGACATTACAAAATAGGAGAAAATCCTTATGGTTATCCCACAGATGATTGATAGCCAGAATATACAAAGAACTAAAGAAAAATTAAGGGCTGGAGAGATGGCTCAGTGGTTAAGAGCACTGCCTGCTCTTCCAGAGGACCTGGGTTCAACTCCCAGCACCCACATGGCAACTCACAACTGTCTGGAACTCCTGTTCCAGGGGATCTAACACCCTCATACAGACATACATGCAGGTAAGCACCAATGTATATAAAACAAAAATAAATTATTTTTAAAAATCAAGCCCCCAAAGAATGAATAATATAATCAGTTAATGGCAAATGAACTAGGCAGAAACTTCTTAAAAGAAGCACAAATGGCTAGTAATTGTGAAAAGTTCAACATCTTGGCAGGCTGATGGTCTTTTATGTACTCTGGTGCCAGAGGCAGGCAGATCTCTGTGAGTTTGAGACAAGTCTGGTCTACATAATGAGTTCCATGTCTACATAATGAGAGTCTGTCTGAACAAAATGGGAAAAAAAAGTACAACATCCTTAGCTATCAGGGAAAAGCAAATCAAAATGACATTGAGAGTCCATTTTTCTGAAATACAAATTGCTGTCATCAGATGGTAAGGGTACAGGGAATGAGAGAGGCTTTCTACAGTATTGGTGGGAATGTCATAGAAATCAGTAGAAAATTTTCTCAAAACAACAACAACCTAACTAAAAATAGACCTAACCATACGACCCAGCTCTACTACTCCTGGGTATATTCCTAAAGGAAGCAACATAGCACAAAGATACCTGCACATCCATATGTGTTGCACCACTATTCACAGTAAGCCAGAGGGAATCTGCTTAGATGCCTGTCAGCAGGGAAGAGAAAAAAAATGTGATGTGTGTGTGTGTATATATAAAAATACAAATGGAGTAGTAGTCATCTGTAAATGAAACTATGTGCCTTGCACGAAAATGGATGGGAACTGAAATATTGTTAAAAAAAAAAAAAAAAAGCCAGGACAAGTATTCAGTGTTTTCTCTCTTGTGCAGAATCCAAACAAAAAGACATGAACTTGGGGGACTATTAGGGAAGAGGATAGGGATCAGAGAGCAGGGAGAGGAGTTGGCCAGGGAGAGTAGTAAAGGAAGGGGTACATGATCCAAGCATGTTACTTGTATATTTGCAAGTCACGGTAATTCCTATGAGGTTCTATTCTATGCAATTCATATCCACTGAAAAGGGAAAAGAAAGCCGCGGGAAGGACAATGCAAGAAGGTAGCTGAGAAAACTGAAGGAGAAGAGCAAGTTGAGGGAGGTCACAGTGGGAGGCAAGAGGTGCTTGCTTGCCCTCTGGATTCCGGGGCTAGACTCACAGTTTGTCAGGCCTGTTCTAGCACATGCTTACCAAGAATGGTGGCACACACCTTTTATCCTAGCATTCAGGAGGCAGGGGCAGGTGAATCTATGTGAGTCTGAGGCCAGTTTGATCTACACAGCCAGTTTCAGACCAGCCAGAGCTGCATAGACTCTGTCTCAAAGAAGAAAAAATTATGAAAACCTAGATAGAGCCTTGCACTAGACAGGTATACCCTAGCCGCTCACCTAATTCCTCAATCTCCTTTATACTCGCCTGTTTCTGTCTAGGATTTCTGAGGCTTTCCTTCAGTTTATTCTGTCCTGAAGCTTCCCCCATTTCCTTTCTGCTTTACCTCTGCCTCCTTCCCCTTTCTCCAGCTTGCTTCTCCCAGGCTGGTGGCTCTCACAGTCGCTGTGTGTACTGCTATCTTACAGGAAGGGCTTATAAAGAGGCTGGCCAGATCCAGCAGGTAAAGGTACTCGCCACCAAGCATGAAGACTTATGTTCAATTCCCCAGGACCCATATAGTGGAAAGGTAGAACCGGCTTCCACAAGTTGTCTTCTCATGTCTACATGAGTGTTGTAGCATGCGTGTGTACACACACACACACACACACACACACACACACACACACACACACACACATAAATAAATGTAAAAATGATCTTTGTAATCATTGGAAAGAGAGAGAATCAAGGAAGAGCAATAGGGTCTACCACTTGTCTCCGGAGTGAGAGTCACCCTATCCACATGCTCAGGGGAAAGACACTGAAGGGCTAGACACAGCCAGAACAGGGGGAGGGAACAGGGAAACTAGATGTAATGAGCACCCAGATGCTGGAGAGACTGA